ATTCTCTCCCATCTCTCGTTCAATCTTCCTGTTCTCTGATATATGTGTAGCTTGGTTTATAATTGAAACATTTAAACGATGAAAGAGGATTGAGTGTTCCTCTATTCCTACTACGCTAGATATTCTAGAACCCACTCGATGGACAACAATGGTTCAATATTTTAACAATCAGATCTCAAAATAGAGAGTTATAAACCATAGTACTAGTGGTGACATGCCAACTCTTTAAAAAGGAGAAAGGACTAGTCTGAGCAATCTTCTTTAACCATTTTTTTAAGGTAATAAGAATTTATAAAGAAACCATCAAGAGGTCATGCGTGTTGAACATAACCAAGAGGTCACACATGTCATAAAAAAAAAAAAACCACACAAATTCACTGTTACAAACTCATCATGATACAATATAATTCTCCAACCACCACGGAGACCCATATCTATCCAACAATAAAGATAACAATATTGCGAGTTGTAGAAGCACCGTAACAACATCACGAGGAAAAGACTACACCACCTTTGATGATCTTGCAAACTATCAACAAAGAACTGTTGTAAGTCATCTCCAAAAATGTTGAGCTTCCTCCTTATAGTCCTTTGCCATGGACACAAACCAAAAGAAAAATAAAAATCTACTTAAATTTGAACAATAGACGCTTCTTAAAGATTTGAATTTGATCCTTCAACCATAACCATCAATACATCCATCCTAATAAAATCAATTGATAACAAAAGGAAAAAGCCTATGATTATTTAAAAAGTCATTCAAGGCTTCACCTCAAGACGTGAAATTCATATTCTCCACAATACATAACAAATTTAATTACATCTTAAAATTTCTCATCCAAATACACCATTAGTCCGAAATCTTGCACATCTTTCTAACGACAAAAAGAAGAAATAGGGAACTCAAACTACTAGTAATCCACAATAAAAGATAGGACGAGTGTCGTTTGGACAACAAAACAAACTACAAGCTTGTCTTCTTGATACTAATTTTTCAAGTCACATCCAATATGGTTTTATCAATTTTCCCTAATACAAATATCTGCTATCCTCTTTATGTTGGCTACGAATCAAACTTAGAGACTAATTACAAGGTCATTTTCGCGACTTGAATGCAGTAGCACTTTGGAATTTAGGCAACGAAAACAATAGGTCATCCCCTTCTTAGGAGTTTGACATGCATTCACATGCACTATTCCACCAACCTTCATGATGTATAAGTATAACCTTAATTCCTAAACGCGATGGGCACTATGACTATGATTACAATTTGATCCCTTCCCCGTGTTCCTAACTTTTGATATCCCAACATACACTAGTAAAATAAACCTACTTCTTCCAACAAGCTCCACCTTGTTCCGCTTGTTTTGCACCATGTTGCTAGTACTCATTGGTCGTTTGCATCCGAACGATAAACATAATGCTAATCTAGCAAGAAGGAAATGGGACAAACAAATTTCATTTCGTAAAACATGATCAACTAATTATTAAGTCTTGGTCTGCTTTGCTACTCAAACAGTGTAGATTGGTTCAATTCTTTTTTGCTGTCCAAACTTTACCCCATATGGAACGAATGAAAATAACGATGATAAGCCTGTCTATACAAATAAACTAGTGTCATCTTCAAACACTATCTTCATGGTCACTTACCATCTCTCTTTTCCTTTCTCTTTAATTTTTACAATGATGCTAATAAGGACTGCGATCAAAATACTAAAACAAACATGACTTCAGTCTAATAATGGGTTCACCAAGGACTGGAACTAAAATAACCCTTTATTTAATTTAATTAATTCAGTTTTTCATGGTCACGAGTCTATGTTTTAGCACAAGCTTAAGGTTTTCATACTTTTTCCTCTTGATACGATATAAAGAGGAAGTTCCTGCGTAGCAACTAGGTTCTAAAAGATGCTAGGTGTTAGTCGGGGGCGTGCTGGGGTCTAGCGCCTAGGCGGGGGCATAGACGGACTAGGCGGATTTAAGTAAATTTTATTGTATATCAAATAATTAAGTGCCTATGTAAACTTAAAAGAAATACAAACTTGTATTGGGATACATAAATTACAAAATAAAACTATATATAAATTATAAAGTATTAAAACATATTGAAAACATGGGGAACAGGTATATAGTGAGTGTTTATTTGAGTATTCCACAGGTTTCTTACATTTAATTGAAAGTTTCTTACATTTTATTGAAAAAATAAAATGCAAAATAAAAGTTATCCATTTTGTGTATAAGTGAGAGTCGTGACCTAAGCAGGTGCCTAGGCGAGTTTAGGTAGGCTAGGTGAACACCTAAGCAAGTTTAGGCTCCTTTCTTAATTTCCAATCGCTTAAAGATTAATTGAGGCGGTGACCAGCCGTCTAAAGCCCACAGCTTAGGCGGCGCTGAATGGAGATTTTAAAACAGTGCGTAGCTATGATGATATTGTAAATAAAAGGCCTCAGTAACCCAATCCCCATCGTCCAACTGTTGCCTACACACAATAGTATAAGGAGAAAAAAAGGACAACAAACATTTTAAAAATTAAAAATTAATAAATCAAAAGATAAACAACAACATAGAAGAAACGTGAGGACATTCCCTTACCCTACATTTGTGCCCCATAGAGTATTTAAAGAATTTTTCCAACTCATACAATTTTGTGGGTTATTTAACAATAAATAGTACAATAAACTTTACTAAAGTAATACACCATTATTCTAATATTCTATAAATCCTTCAATATGATATTAGGAAACGATCGATTTGAAATGAACTTTTTAAACCGGCATCGACAGCATCCCAGATAGCTGTTAAGAAAATTAGTTTCATATAATTTTCTAAGCTAGAACTCTTTATAATTGTGCAAAAGGATTAAAAACAAACCAGGGTTCTTATACCAAGTAAAAAATGACAAAAAATTGTGGTATTTGAAGGGTTTACTATGATGTTGTGAAGATGTGAAGGCAAGAGAAAAAAAGGGAAGGGTTTGCCATAAGGAAGGATTAAATGAGTGGACTAGGATTTTTTTCTCTCATATTTTCTTTTACTTTCAACCTTTCATCCTACGCTCTTTATTTTATCTTTTTTTTAATAAAAAATTAATATAAAATATTAGCATTACTTAATTGTGATCGTTTAAATAAAAGAGAATGAAAAGGAAAAAAAAAGAACTTACACTTTTTATTTTATCTTTTTTTTAATAACAAATTAATATAAAATATTAATATAATTTAATTATGATCGAAAAAAAAAAAGAAAAAAGAAAAAAGAGAGAATCCTTCTCCTAAACGACCACGTCGCAAACAGCACTGCATGACAGACAACCTGAAAGACTGGTCCCCACATGCACGACGCTGTGAATTGGGCCACTCAGATCAAACATAAGGGCACGTGTCGGCTATATTCCACAAGCTTTCTAACGTACAACCACCAGATAAATGCCACATCAACGAGCCAGCAATGGAAACCCTAAGAAAATGGGTACCAAGATTTGACCGAGGGCAGGTGGCAAGGAATGAATGGGTGACGTGTGACAGGTGACGGACTCTTGTCAGGATGCAACTAATTTTATTGGTTTAAAATAATATCCTTTGGTGAATTAGTTAATGTTTATCGATTTGAATAAGATTTAAGATTTAAGGTGTGGGGTTTATAAATTGATCGTATGGAAGGAGAACCAAAGTTGGACACGTTCAGATAGGGACTTGATCAAAGCCATTTTCATGGCTTCGAGTCGAAATTGGAACTGGCTTACCTAAGTCTAAGCCCTACCTTGAGAAGTTTTTAATCGTAAGTATGAAACTTGGTTTGTGACGGAGAACTATTACTCACTAAGTTTAGGTCCAATGTTAATAATATGTAAAATATCTAAGTGATAAACATGACGATCTTTCTTTTATAAGACAATTTGACGTATTATATTACTAAACTCTTACACAACTATATTGTATAAGTGTTTGAATAGGCAATTTTGTTGATAATCTCATGCTATCCTAAGCAAAATATGTTCATGTTCTTTTTTAGAGATCTTTGAGTGTACATGTTGGAAACCTACTATTTAATTAGTAATTAAGGAGCGGGTGTTATACCAATTTGCCTCTCACGAAGTATATAATAAGATCAACATATATGTAATACATTATTTTGATGTTCTCTTTGATCATGAATGTCGCAGGAGAAAGTTTTTGACAAAATTCCTAAAAATGTTGGGGGTAAAGCAAGCAAAGTGTAACAAGGAAAAGTGGCATGCAATATTCATTTTGCTTCCGAATTAAAAAATTCTTGGATTCACCATAATCTTTCTGTTACAGAAAATATAGTATATAGAAATTAAACCTGAATGTAAGTTTAAACTACGATTATTTCAAAGACCTGGAATAAAAGACACCAAAACCTAAACATAGATTAGAATAATTATTGTAACATCATAAATTCATATATATATATATAGGTCTCACAAAATCAACAAAGGCGGAAGGTTCAATATTGGAACGTGATTCACGTTGCCGACACTAAATAGCTCACTAGCAGAAGACTTGGCCAGAGTTCTATTTATTGTTCAGATTATGAAAATGACAAAGGCATTTTAAAATCATATCATAAACAATTTAAAAATCACTAAAAATGTGCCTGCATTAGTGCAAGATAATTAACAAAGACAGCTCGGCTGCAAAGCTAGCTAGAGAGCTCTAAGTTAATGAAATGAAAAATCATATTTATTATATGGTATTGCCTATGAGTAATTTATAGGAGAGATTTTTTGGTGTATTCATAATACCGTCATGTGTATTTTTTTAACACTTTAAATTTAGAACATGTCAAGAGTATTGTTTTTCATGTTTATAACATGTAAAATGTGATACCAGGTAACAACTGCCCTGAAAATACATAAAACTTCTCGCAATTTAGAAAAGAAAATGGAAAAAAACCATCATGATGTTTATAACACGTAAATCATGTTGATTACTTCAGAGCCCATGGATTGTGGATATAAAGGAGAATCCCAAGTCACTAAGTCACAAAACCCAGTCAGACCAAAAAACCATGACATCAGACGCACATTGCTTAAGGCCTTAAAAACCACCGAATTCCATATCATGCATATATCAGAAAAAGCACACACGCACACTCCCAAAACATTCTTTCTACAACCACCCACAAAACCCTATTAGGATTTTCTAGTTAAGCTACGAAGATCCTAACAAGATGCTCGATCAGATCGAATATTCGAGTCCCTCGGCAGAAGATCATGAGACTTTCAGCTGTATGAGCTCACCGGGAGCTGCTACTACAAGGAGGAAGAACGACAAGAACAAGAAGAGGTTTAGTGATGAGCAGATTAGGTCACTGGAGTCCATCTTTGAGTCTGAGTCGAGGCTTGAGCCGAGGAAGAAGATGCAGTTGGCCAAAGAGCTAGGGTTGCAACCGAGGCAGGTTTCTATTTGGTTTCAGAACAAGAGAGCTAGATGGAAGTCCAAGCAGCTTGAGAGAGAATACAGCATATTGAGAGCCAATTACAACAACTTGGCATCAAAGTTTGAAGCTATGAAGAAAGAAAAGCAGGCCTTGGTTGTTCAGGTAATTATTCATTCATTCTGGTTTTTTAAATATGCCTAATTGAAGAACACTGCTTGTCCTTACCTGTAAGAAGTCATTCTTTGTTAACCATAAGTTCAGACTAGCGCTTGTAAAAGTAACTCTTTAAAACCATAAAAAAGGAAAAGTGTATGCACATGTCATATATAAGAAGTAATGAACCCTTACATGTCCGGAACAAAATATTTTTCACTAATTTTAACATGTTAAGATAATCAATAACTGATAGATTATGTCTTATTTTGTGACAGGTTCAGAAGCTGAATAATCTGATGATGCAAAGGGAGAATCGTGGGGAAGATGTAGCTATGAACAGTGGCATTGATGGTGAGTCAGATAATGGAGATGCCACCATTTCTGAATCTGATCAGGTGAAGCTTGATCTTTCAGTGGAAAAATCAGAGCAAGGAGAACTTGGGGTGCTGTCAGATGATGACAGCAGCATAAAAGCAGAGTACTTTGGACTGGAAGATGAATCAAACCTTGTTAACTTAGTGGAGTATGTAGATGGTTCCTTAACATCAGCTGAGGATTGGAGGAAATTGAATTCTGATGGTCTTTTTGATGAATCAACTGGTGATTATCAGTGGTGGGACTTCTGGTCTTGAAAACAGAAAATGTGTGTATATAATGAAGTGCTTCTTCTATTGGAGTGATCAAGAGAAAGGGGCTTATAAACTCATCAGAGTTACATTAGCTTTTGGAGATTGTTTGTTCTTCACCATGTCACTTGCAGACATTGTGCTACACTCAATCACTTAGATGTCCTGTTTAATTACGATGTTACAATTCTGATATGTGGGTCTGTGTCTAATCTTGGATAAGTAACATCATAAGGCCCAAAGACACACACATGTATGCCTGCAGTCGGCTAGAATTTTGTAGGAGTTGGCATGTTGCTCAATACTCTGAACCTTGATGTAGCCTCTAACATATGTGAATTTGTTTTATTTTTGGTGTCAATGACCTTTTACACACACGCACACTCAGTTAGTTGTAGCATATGACGACCTTCTTTATGGTAGACAATAGTGATCTTGTTATATTATAACTGTGTGCTGAATTAAATGTAAAATTGATAAATATTACATAAGTAAGAACACCAACCACGCAACAACACAAAAATTTATAATCGTTCCAATCTATTTTGTCTACATCCACGCTAGTGATCTTGTTTTGGCCCAAAATATTGGGCATGGGCCAAATGAGGTTATAAGCTTGATACGAGTTAGGGATTCTCGGCCCAATTCTTAATCCTTTAAATCAGGTCGAGTCCAGCCCATAATATGACGACTGAGTTTTAAAAGAAAGACTTTTAAGGGATCTGGTTGAAGATTGATTCAATTGAATCCTAATGTAAGTAAAATTGTTAAGGATCAAGATGAGTTTTGATAAGATTCGTAATATTCCAAGAATCAAGGCTCATGTTGATTAGATTAGGAGAGAATCAAATGCTGAAAGAGGACTGAGTTCATAGTCCTAATTTTAATGGAAGATGATGAAGGTTGTGCGCGAATTAGGTTTATCTAATAAGAGATTGGATCAGGAGATGCCAAGGAGTTTCACCCATATAAATAGAAATGGTTTTGCAATATTCAAATGGTTTTCAACTCAACACACAAATGCCCTGCGAAAATTCTCGCTTTACGCGAAACCCTCTCAAACCGTTGAGAAACCACTAACTTCCATAATTTAGTCAACATACCTTCAATTTGGATTAACAACACTAGTTAAAGAAGGTGCCGAAGACTGTGCACGGATTAGGCTTATCTAATAGGAGATTAGATGAGGAGAGCCGATGAGTGACATTCCATATGAGACTCTACTTCGGCGTAAGTGATTAGCACATAATTCACCCCTATAAATAGAAGTGGTTTTGCAACATTCAAAGAACCTTCAACTCAACATACAAATGCCCTGTGCAAATTCTCGCTCTACGCGAAACCCTCTCAAACCTATGAGAAACCATTTACTTCCTTAACTTCGTCAACATACCTTCAGCTTGGATTAACAGCAGTGTGTTGGATTAACAGCAGTGTGTTAACAACCGGCAACATCTTCAATTTGGGTAACAACTTTGGAGCTGTAAAATCAGGCGACTGAGAAGCGTCTTCACTTTTGAGTAATAACACTCATTCGAGTTCAGCTAGTTATCTATCTAAGTTTTTGTCATTAAGGATTCTTCGGTCTTTGTATTGATAGAGGTCATCTTATTAGTCTTCTTGGCAAAGTGAGGCGTTACCAGGTTATTTAATATTCGACAAATTGAAATCCAAGCCTGTTTATGATTGGTTATGCTAGGTGCATTTTAGAGTTCGGCATTCTAACGGCCGAACAACATTTACAGAGACATTTATCTCTTTCGAGTATTTGTGTCATTACAGTTTGATACCAATTTGGCGCACCGATATTTTCACAAATATAGTTAAGGCAGCTGAACCTAGTGCAAAAGATTCTAAACTTCAAATTGGCTAACAACATTGTCTTTAAGTTCTAGAGTCCAAAGGTTGAGACATGTTCCTTCCTTGACCATGATTGATTAGATACAAAAGGTAAAAGCGCATTTGACACCGCCAACACCTTCATTCTACTAGCCGACCAATGTCGGCGGCTAGTTGGCACTCTTGCATTCACCAGAAGAACGTAATTAGCTCTTTAGTTACTCGATATGCAAGCCACGTAGGCTAAGTAGTTTTTAAGGTCAACATGTTTGGCACACCCAGTGTGTAACATCCTACATCGCCCAAGGGAGTGGATCCTCTAATCTTTATATGTATATTCCCATCTCTACCTAACACGAGGTATTTTGGGAGCTCATTGGCTTCAGGTTCCATCGAAACTCTGAAGTTAAGCGAGTTCGCGCGAGAGCAATCCCATGATGGGTGACCTACTGGGAAGTTCTCGTGTGAGTTCCCAGAAAGAAAACCATTAGGGCGTGGTCGGGGCCCAAAGTGGACAATATAGTGCTATGGTGGAGTCGAGCCTGAGATGTGACAATTTGGTATCAGAGCCAATCCCTGAATGTAAGTGTGCAGACGAGGAGGTCGGGCCTCTAAAGGGGGTGGATTGTAAGATCCCACATCGCCCAGGGGTAAGGATCATGTAAGCCTTATATGTATATTCCCATTTCTACCTAGCACGAGACCTTTTGGGAGCTCACTGGCTTTGTATTTCATAGGAACTCCGAAGTTAAGCGAGATCACGTGAGAGCAATCCCAGGATAGATGATCCACTGGGAAGTTCTCTTGTGAGTTGCAAGAAACAAAACTGTGAGGGCGTGGTCAGGGCCCAAAGCGGACAATACGTGCTATGGGGAAGTCGAGCCTAGGATGTGGTGGGGCTCGGGCCGGGATGTGACATAGTCGGACCAAATGCTAAAAAACTACGAAGTTCATAACCATCAAGACCCGCTATGTCAAGAAGAAAACATCGATGGGAAAACTGCCAAGAAATCAGACATTTGCAAATTAGGCAATTGTGTCTTCTAGCATATAACTGGCACATGATCCTCATGCTGTCGCCATACAAGAACATGGAGCACGCTGAGAGGTAGAAATTAATTTCAACTGCCATAAGCACAGTGTATTGGCAATCATAAAGACCATTAAGCCCACTAATTTTGACCTTCTAGAAGGGATAGTTGAGGAATATCACGACAAGGACGATAAAACCTCAAATGTACTTCCTAAGACGTCCATTTGGTAAAGGCTTGAAAAGCACACTAGACATTTTGAGTTTACCCTCGAACGAGAAATTGGCCCGCTGAGTCTTCTTAAATAAGACATAAAAAATTAGTACCATAAAGGAATACAATGAAGCCAAGAAAAGATAAACTGTCTGCTCAGAACATGAGTTATTGAGATTCGGCAGACTAGAACAAATTCTAGCGTCGAGAAATAGCCACCTAGCCCCATTTAAAAAGAAGATGATTCTTGACGGGATAGGTCGTTGCCACCAAAGTTTGAGGATTAAGCGGACATAAAGTCGATTTAGAGTCACTATATGGGCCATTATTGTTTTACGGTTTCGCTAGAACCGACAAAAAGGGTGCCAACAGTAAAAAAATGGCCGATGGTCTCGTAGTTTATTCATCCTTATCTTCCCCGTGTCAAGAAATACAAATATCCTCAAGGGTTCAAGATTCCTGACTTTAGCCTTTTTAATGGCGAATCAAGTCTCTCATGATTAGAGCATATTGCTTGGTTTATTGCTCAGTGCGGTGATGCCAACCACGACTATCATAAGTTGCGATTGTACAACTTCTTGTTAACTTTGGTCGCATTCTTGTGGTATATAAAACTGTCATCAACTTAGTATAAACCTACGATGACTTTGTCAGGAAGTTTCACGAGCAGTTTTATCACACCATAATGGAAGTCTAGGTCTCTTTATTTGCGAGAATGTCTTAGGCACCTAAAGATATTTGGGAAGTAGATATTGGATCCTCTTAGGAGTGAGATTACTTGATATGCATGCTAATCATTAGATTGTAAGGACTCCAAAATTGTAGGAAACTTGTTGATTCCATACTAGATTAGGTTCCTGAATCTTACAAAACAAGATGGTAACATCGCTTATCTATTGAGTCAGCTCCATAATGGAGGCTGTTGAGTCGATAATCGAACTTTTGAGGTAGGCGTAGTTTGATTTGTCTTTCTTCGGCCTTGAAAAATCATGGATCCATAATTACCCTTAACTAGGCATCGAAAATAACTTGTTCTCCTTGAGGATTGATAGATACTTAAAAACCAGGTCTTTTAGAGTAAGTCTGGATACGTATTGTTTTCTTTCTTTTAGACGTGCGATGTCTTAACTTTATTGCTTGTGAATTTTTGACATTCTAGATTCAGTCGTGTGATCTTAAATATTGAGAAAAAGGCACAATAATGATGAAAGATGCTAGGTTACTTATGCACATTAAACAAGGAATGGCTCTCTATATCATCGAGCAATTATGAAAGACGCCAGGTTACTTGTGCACATTAAACAAAGAACAACTCTCTATATCACCGAGCAATCTTCGTTCTTTGAACACATAAATCTCTTGGTGAAACTTTCCAAATTCAATGGTGAAATCTCTTGTCACTTTGCCTTTAAATAACTTTATTGCACCGGTGGTTTTCGCATAGCATAACAAATCTAGTAAAGCTTCTCATAGTATGTTCCATAATATTCATTCTTTGCCCTCATGTCTGCAATGTCTTCATTGCAATCTTCACATAAAGGTTCAACTTCAAAAGGCCTTTGGGATTCTTGAAAAAGTTCTTCTTCATTGTAGCTGTCTTCACGTTTTTTCATATAAGTCTTTTGACGACGACTGAACTTCATCAGAGTTGATGATCTTCATCAAATCCACTTCATAATTTTCCAAGGGCATGCTAGGGGTGAAGGCTTGTCTCCCCCCCTCCCCCCAAATAATTGTACCTTTTCTGCCCTGTTCATGGGACTTTGATAATAAACATGTACTTTATGTATTATAAACACTTCCCATTTCATTCAAGTCATTTATCCAATTTGAATAAAATGTTGAAAATTTTTCATCCCTTGCCTCCACATCATGCGATAATTTATTAATTCGACGAATGCTTTCAAAATAATCTAACTTCAAAGTAAGAAGTGGTAGAGTAGAGTAGAGTACGAGCAAGCTTGTGGGCCCGTGACATGGCTCAAAACCTTTCTAGGTAACATTGATTCGGAAAAACACTATGTCCCAAACTTGGCATTCATAATGATTCCCACTGCGACCATCAGAGCACTACCTTACTCTAACACCATGTCTAATGCCCATGAAAATCCTTTACTCTATACTCATAATATATTTGTCAGACTTAGGATAAAAAAAATGACAAGTCTTACCCAAAATGACCTCCAAAGTTTAGTTTTGAATAAGCGTTCTTGCTTTGATATGATGTCTTTTTCGTTCACCTTGTCCAATTTCGGGTCTGAGGATTTTAGATGTTGCAACGTCTAACAGAGAAGAGGTTGGGTTCCCAATCTAGATTGTTGATCCATCCCTAGTGAATCTTAAAACAAAAATTCGATAGGGACTTGGTCGCCTGCATATGGATCGGAAATACTTAATTGAATTCCATTGTTAGACCTTATACGTATGACCTAATCATTTCTTGTAGGACTACACTAAGCTGACTTGGCTCAGGAACTTTCGTGCACCAGAGCTCTATTCGAATAAGATTCATCCTAAGGATTTCCTAGTCTAAATGCCTCTTTCAGACCTGCTTAACACATGGTGTTGCAGAATGTATTTGACATAGTACACTAGTATAGGATAGAAGTGATCGTACTCAAGGTCGTGATATAACGTATTTCCCCTACTCGTAGCTTGCCAATCATTACAACATTTATTATTGTTCGAGTCTCCCAAGTTGCTAACCGGACACTACGGAGTGGGCTAAAGGAAACTCCTTTGAGCACAATCACTTTGAGTTGTTTAGATTTGCAGCTAAGGCTGGGCATTTTATGAAAAAAAACACTGAGTGAAGTGCCCGAACAACACCGACGGCTTGGTTTTTGTTTTTGTTTTTTTTTTATTTTTGGTGATTAAACTGAACTGCACCGATCTTAATCGATTTGGCAATTAGTTCTCAAAATTCTTAGGGTGCGGTTAACCGAACTAACCCTCATATATTTATTTATTTTTAATCATAATTAATACGTGTAGTAATATAAACGGTTAGTTTTTTATGAGTTACCGTGTTTCCATCACATGAAAACAAAACCTGATTAACTTAAGAGTCCCTTTAGGGAAGAACATGAGGGACCATTTGGAAAAGGCAGCAACTGTTGCTTTGGTGCTCTCCTTGGGATACTTCATTTGTGCTTTCCTTTAAGTAATCACTCATCTTGGTGCTACGTTTTGTAGTTTTTAGAGAGAAATTTGTTATGTTTTTTCATCTTCACACAAACCGATAATCAACCCAAACCAACCAGCCACTGTCAGCTAACCGACCTGATTGGTTCTAAGCTTGGTCTGTTTCGGTTTTAGCCCAAGATTGACCCAAAAAACCCATGCCCACGCCTACTTGTAGCTGTGCGAAGTTTCAAAGTTTTGTGTGATTTGGAATTTTAGTATTCTCATTACCGTAGAAAAGAAAAAAAAATGAACAAGTACGTAGCGTAGCTATGAGAGTAGAGCAACCTTGTCTGCTGGTCTCAATAAAGCACCCTAGTCTGATGGTTTCAGTAAAGCAGCTTGGTCTAGTGGTCTCAGTAGAGCACCCTTATCTGGTGGTCTCAATTTTGCACCATTGTTTGGTGTTCTTAGTAGAACACCCTGGTCTAGTTCTTAGTAAAGTACCCTGGTTTGGTGGTCTTAACAGAGCACCCTAGTCAAATCGTCTTAGTAGAGCACCGTCCACTAGAGTGTAGACCATTAGATAACTGACCATTTGGAAGAGGTGGTCTATGACGAATCAAAGTGTCTCCTCCATCCAACGGTGATCTAGTCTATAATAAAAAAGTCTTCCCTTATAATGATGACGTGGCAAGAGTGGACCGAGTCATTTAGGAGACCAACGTTAACAATAACTGATCATGTGAAGCTATGTCGTCCTTGATGATGCAAGTCAGTCGCCGGAATCTTGCCAACTAGTAGTTATGAAGGTCCTTGTTGGTAAGAGCGCAGTCGCACCAAACACATAAGTGCAGACTCCAGAGAGTTGGTGCCCTGCCATCTTTAGATTGGGTATGGATCTATAGCACTCATGACGTTGAAAGTAAAACTGTCACATTAAACATATTATTCATGTGTCATTCTCCTTTTGAAAGTAGTTAATTTATATCTTCACTAGTTACACACGGATTTTATGAGAAGAACAAACCAAACTATAAGCTCGCACATATTTGTTCAATCTGAGCACACTCAACCGAAGAAAAAACGAGCTAAATGCAAATTGCATCGATCCGATTTACGACCCCTTCAGACAACCACACCATTCCAACTAGAGGTGGGCACAGGCCGGGCCAGGCCCAAATTTGGAGGGACCGGACCGGATCCGCTTAAAAAGGAAACGGGCGGGGCCGAGCCGAGTATTGCAAAACTAATCACTGGAATCGGACCTAACCCGGCTCGTTTGAAACGGGCCAGTTCGGGACGGGTCCACGAGTCTTTTTTTTTTTTGGCTTTGATATAGAGCTCCAGATCGCCACCACACCCAGTTCCAAATCGCCACCGCCTCCTCGACCTCGAACGACTCGCCGTCCTGCCACCGGTAATTCAATATCAACATAAGCCACCAGCAATTCGATATCAAGATAAACCATCAGTAATAAAACAACAAATCAACCAATTTAAACAGAAACCTATGAATACCCCTAAATCATACCAAACCATCATAGAAAACCCCTAAATTAGTAACCCAATCCCCAAATTCCCAAATAAAAAAAACCCTAACCCAACAGAATCCCCAAATTTTGAAACCCTAGAATCAAACCAAGCAATCACGAACAAGAATTAAACCAAAATTCAAGGTTAAATTGGGGTTTAAACATACCAGAATAAGGTCAAAGAGCGTAGGTTGGTCAACCTTGACGAATTCCTGATCCTAGCCCTTGAGATTGTCCTCGGGAGATCTTCTTGTCGGGCTTGGCGGTGTCAACATGTTTCTTGCAGTACTCAATGACCATGGCCAAAATATTGCGTTGACATTAGGCAGAGGAATGCCGTTGTCGGCGCAATCGTCGTCGATCATGTGCTTGATGGTCTGCGACTCCAGAGCCATCGCCTTCTCGACCTCGAACGACTCGCCGTCCGAACTCTTTAAGGTGATCTTCTTCGACGATGGCGACATGGTTGGTGACGATGATAACGAGGAGTGGAGGGGTGAAATTTGATTCCGGTTGTAGTGAGAGAAATTTGATTTCGCACGGAAAAATATGATAAAAACGAGGAGTGGAGGGGTGAGTTGGGTGAATGGGGAAGAAGCTATGTTTATAAACGGGCCGGTCCGGGTACCCATTTTTCTGTACTTCTGACCCGGCCCACTCCTAAAATTTCAAAGCCCCTCCCCGCCCTGCCCCATTTCTCTTTAAAAAATTAAGAACCGGCCCATACCTGTCCCAAACCTTGATTACCAGTCCCAACCCGCGGTTCCTATACCTGTTTGCCCACCCTTAATTCCAACATAGTCGTCTCACGTGAAAGTCATAAACAGTCAAAGCACCACACCTCAAACACTACTATTCCGTGTTCATTACATAATACAACATTCACAAGAAAACGGCGTGGTATGACCGCTGAGTGTCGAAACGGCATTGCGTTTTAGACCTTACCCAACTGTCTTCTCCTTCGTCCTCACTGATTCAGGAAAGGTGGGGAGCTTAACCGAAGGAGCAACGGCAAAACCGCCGACTCAAAAGCTCGGAGGAGTAATGAACGACCTCTCTAATGGCGTCCTGAGAGACCACGGTGGCAGAGCCTTGAAGCCCATTCCGTCTCTGGTTCTCTACATTCTCGTACCCATCTTTTTTCTGGGCCTCTCCGTCTCAATCTTCATCCTCATTGTCGTCCGCAACGCCCTCTTCTTCGTCTTTTTCCTCCTGCTCTCCGCCCTCGTCGCCGCCTTCGTCGTTTGGAATGTACGGCACTGGGCGACCAAAGCTGCCGTCTTTTGGTTCCTCGACTCGGTTCCGGAGTCCGACCTCCGCCTCGCCCAGCACGGACAGCTCGTCAAAATTACTGGGGTGCTCATTCTCTCGCCCTTTTAGCTCGTTGTTATGGGTTTCTTATAATTTTTTATTGGGTTTCTGTATTACTTTCAAAGGTAATAAAATTGTTTTGGGGTTTTTTGGAATGATTTGGTTTTGGGATATTAAGGTTGGGAATGTGTAGTTGGAGTGCAATGTAGATGTATGTGATAGGTTGCTGAGAAATTGGAGGAAAACGAAAGGGGAAAATTGGGGTGTTTTGTTGATGTTATCTCTGTTTGAATGTTTTTATTATACGGGGCAGATTGTATGTTCCTGTGTTTGGTTTCTGACATTTTAAACAGGAATAATTTGAAGTTCTGGAAAATTATTGTTCTTAGAAATCGAATGAAGCGCAGCTGAACTATTGGAGAATAACATTAAGTGGCGAAAAATCAGAAAATTTGTTTGGTATCATGGAACTAAATTAAGACTTTGGGAGCTTGGATGGTTCAATATTTGTTGCAATAATAGGTTTATGCAGCATTTTCACTTTCTAGTTTTATATGTATATGATAGCATCATCTTGAAAGACTTTTCGCAGAAGTTTTTCTAATCATTTTTTTTAATTATATAACAAGTGGATTGCGCACCTCATATGTGCTGATCTGTAAACTTGTAATATATGCATCATGGTTAACCTTACCCTTTTTCTTGGTTATTTCCACCGGTTTCTCATCAGTCACTCAGTATGTGGTTTATTCAACATATGAGAGGACGAACAATAACATGTTGTTCCAATGATTTCAGATTGCATCATGTGGGAGTCTATCCCTTGAATCTTCATATGAAAAAGCTACCGGCTGTATCTATGCCTCTACTCTTTTATATGAATACAGGGGATTAACTCTACAGCCAGGGAATGTCAAGAGATCATGCTTCCAGTGGCATTTAGCATATTGTGAGGTATGAATACTCTTCTGTTGCCATGTGGATCAGCAAGCTGTTGCTTGTCCTAATTAGATCAAATAGGTGGATTGCGTCCATGAGATGGATCAATCATTTGTACTTGTTTCCATGTCCGTTTGTGCTTTGCATCAATTTATGCGTTTAGTTAACTATCACGATTGGAATGCTTACTTGGCACTTGGTACTCAGAATGTTAAGTTTAGTCTCCACATCCTTCTGATCATCTTGCACCTCGACTTTGGACTTCATTTGGCCGATGGAGTAAAAAACATGGTCCAAATAATTTATTGCTGCCCATTTTGCTCCTTATTTGCTCATGGCTAAAAATTTTGGTGTATGTTGCACATTGTTCTCAATTAGAACTTCATGTCTTCTATCCGGGAGCTTTGTCTGATTATGTCTTTTGCTATCTTTTGTCTCCTTTACATTGGCAAGCTTACATCGATTTCACTCATTGTTTTTGTGATGCTTGGTCTTTTGTGCGATGAAGCTTTACGAGGTTTGAAGGCCTCAGGCCTTTCCCTTTTGTTGCCTTGGATGGCTTATCCTGCATTTTTAAGCATCTACTGTTTCCTGTAATGGTCAAGGACCCAAGGTAATTGGAGGAAAGATGATGATGGTAAAAAAAGTTTGAAGATAATATGTATGACTTGTAATCTATATTTGGCTAGTGATTAGTTCCAATGGTTAATTTGTAATTAGTACAAATAATACACATTTGAAGTCTCTCGTTTGTTTCTATGCTTAGTATGCTTTAATATTTCAAGTTATTTGTGACTTTGCCAAATCGAAACTTCTCAAACGTACTGGTGTAATTAAACCAACCAAATGAATCTATTATTTTCTTTTTGTAGATAATAAGAAAATTTCTGCAGATCTTTTTGTCTAAGATTTTTATTTGCATTTCTATTCTAGTATCTGAATCATGAAGAAAATATCTGTGTACTTAGAATTATAATTGTTTTTTCTTCTTCTTCGGCTTTCCACCTGACAGAGATTCTCCACAGACTTTTACTTAACCGATCAAAAGTCTGGTCTTACAGCTATTGTCAAAGCTGGTTCTGGTTGCAAAGTTATCCCACTAATTGTCGAGAGCAAACTTGTCAACACTAAAAGATGCAGAATCCTCTCTCCTCACTTGAGGAAATGGTTAACTGAGAGAAATCTCTCATCTGAATCCCGTCTACTACGTCTGGAGGAAGGGTAACCTAATTATACATTACAATCTCAATTGAATACCCTGCTGCATAAATGATTTTGTTTACATTTTAACCTGAGCTTCCTAGGAGCTTATGTACTTGAGATTTGCACGAATTTTTGCAGGTATGTTCAAGAAGGCAGCTCAGTGACAGTATTCGGAATGTTGCATAGAAACAATGAGATGACTACAATTGTTCAACCGCCAGAAGTAATCTCAACCGGGTGTCTCTGGCGAAAACTGCTTCTCCCAGTTGACGTTGATGGGATGATTCTAAGGGTCTATCAAACGGCCGCTGGGCATTCAATCAACCAAGATTCAATACAACAGGCAGAAAGATGGTAGTAGGTAGGACAAGATTTTTGGATGATAACCCAACTCCCCTTCAATGTGTACACCTTCAACTAATCACTAATCACCATGTAGACCTTCTACAACTGTACTAAGCGTGTAACATTATTTTGCTTTTGAAAATGAATACGGCTTTTATTCCGACTTTTTTCAATGCACTAGAGTATTTTTACTACGTGCAAATGTCTCTCCTTTCTTGTAATGGGCCAGAAAAACAAATGAAAAGCTCATTGTGTATTTAAGCTCATTTACATTTCGATTAAAAAAATAAATAAAAGGAACCGTTATGAGCATTTTCAAAATCTCATTCTACACTTCTCATAAGTGTATTTTTCTTTCTAATTATAGAAAGTTTGGAGTGCCAAATGAGATTTTTGAAGTGCTAATAACAACTCCCAAAATAAAAACGTAATAGAGAAAAAATTATTGCTAAATACTTTAGCACTTGACTTTTTAAAAAGTTCGTTGTATTTGTAATAAAACCACTGAAAATTACAAAGCATCATATTTTTTTTTCGTGGAAAAATAAATATATTAAATCGAAAAGCCTCTAATACAATCAGTTCCAATACAGTCAAATTAAAAGCTTCTAAGGCTAAAGTGGGGAGGCAATGGTCCCAAAAATGAGGATTTGATACCGCCACACCCACATCAGCCTTCTTGTCGGCCACAAAATTGACTTCCCTAAAAATATATTTCCAGCAAATAGAATGAAGGCTAGCAGCCAGCCATTTAATATCTTCGATAGTAGAGAGGAGATGCCCTGGGATTTAATACCTTCTACCGCTTGAGTCCACATTGTTGACATTAGAATGATAATAATCCAGGCCCAGTTTCACAGCAATTGAAACTAGGGCTGGGCACGGGCCGGGCCGAGCCCATTTTTGAAGGGACCGGACCGGACCCGGAATTAAAGGAGACGGGACGGGCCGGGCCGGGCACTACAATTCTGAAAATAGGAACCGGACCTTACCCGGCCCGGTTGAAACGGGCCGGTTCGGTCCGGGTACACGGGTCTTTTTTTTTTTTTTTTTTCCTGTTTAAAAATGTTTGCTGCACACAGATTGCAGTTTGATAAAACTGCACAGATTGCAGTTTTTACACAGAACATATTTCACATATTGCAGTTTGAAAAAACTGCACAAATTCCACAAATTTCACAGATTCCACAAATTGCAGTTTGAAAAAACTGCACAGATTGCAGTTTCTCAAACTGCACAGATTGCAGTTTGAAAAAAACTGCACAAATTGCTTCATTTTAACCAGGCTGGATAAGAAGAATCAACAATTACTTCATTTGTGTTAAGTTAATACATCATGGCACACATTGCTGCATTTTATTACAATATAAAGTAGACTAGACCTTACATTAAGTTAATATAAACAAACTATCAAGCGATATCTCGTTTGAGGTCAAAAAATATTTTTGATGCAGATCCCGCCACATGGTCTACACATATATGCATCATAACCCGAACTACGACTACTCACTTTAACAATTTCCACCATCTTTATCCTTGTTCTTGTCACCATTCTTTGTACCCAAAGTAGCAGCATGGTGCGCAAAAAGCTCAATGACAACATTCATGTGTTTGTATTCTTCTACTACCAATTTAAGAGCAATATAGAAAAGAGAGCAAACACAGAAGTTACACCAAAACTGCAGATTAATTATGAATAGATGCCAAAACTCGCTACGTTCTGAATGACAGTTATATCGATATACTAATCAACTTTTCAGGTAACAAAAGCGGCTAACATATCAGGAGAAAACGCTGCTACAATCTTTACCGAGGCTCTTGTCACGTTTCTGTATGACTAAAGCAGCTATAGTTCACGCAAAAGGCTCAATCACAATATCTGTATCAAGAATTTTCAGTGTTTCACTACTTTCGATTCAAGAACAACTAAAATCCAAAGAAACCCAATACTTTGCACTAAAACAATTCCTCATATACACAAGAAACAATGTTAATTGTCATACTATCAGAACAACAATAAAGGTTTCCAATTTCAAAACCAGAGAAGCATCCACCACAAACCCATACAATTAAATTCTTATTTCTTCTTATTTAACTGTAGAACCATTAGAAAAAAAAAGAACAAACACATTATATATGAATTTTATTATTTATATTTGTCACATAGCAGACGCTTGGGGTGCCATGGAAACAACAACCTTACCATCTTGAATTTGATTCAATACACCAGCAGCAGCTTGTCTCCCATCTACGGGCACCGGAGCAACCGTCTGATATCAAGACTATTCAAAGTCTCAACTAGGACCTACAAAATAACTTATTAAAAGCAGTCACGGACTCACGGCTGCAATAGTAACAGCAGAAATGAAGCTTAACAGTAATTACACTTGCACGATTAGATTGAACATAAACCTAAATTTAAAGACTAAATGTTGAAGGACAGAAGAAGCAGAGGTTCCCGCAGGCGGGCAATTCCTCTCTTTCTGAAAAAAATCAAAAGAGGAATATTTTTTATAACTCAATCATCGATCTATAAATTCTACAAATTCTAACTTAAAACCCCTAAAAATCCCTACACCAGAAATTCACATTAATAGTAAAACCTAATTCAAAATTCCATAAATTTTAGAGGGATGATGGTTGGTACTTGCCTTGGTACTGGTAGTAGCATCGACGGTGGTGATGGGGTGATGATGGTGGTTGCGACGGCGGAGGTGGTGATGGGGGGTGATGATGTTGGTCGCGACTCGCGACAGCGCTGTGAGAGTGGTGAGGTCGTGAGCACTGTGAGTCGGAGTCGAGGGAGGGAAGGGATAGGGAGAGGGATTCGAGGGAGAGGGATAGGGAGAGGGACTCAGGGAGAGGGAGTCGAGGGAGAGTCTGAGGCTGCTGAGGAGGCTGAGGATGCTTCTGGAACTCAGGACTCGGGGAAGGTTGGCTAGGGTTGAAAGTTGAAAACTTGAACTGACGGTTGAGATTGGATGGAGAGATGATATTAAATCTCGTCCGTCCAATCTAACACAAACGGGCCGGTTCGGGTACCCGCGGATCCTATAATTTTGGAACCGACCCGCCCCTAAAACTTCAATTACCCGCCCCGCCCCGCCCCGATCTATTTTTACAAAACTAAGAACCGGCCCGTACCCGCCCCGTACCCGTATTACCCGCCCCTACCCGCGGGTCCAGGACCCGTTTGCCCAGCCCTAATTGAAACACATCTTGGCGGGAACGGCACCACAGTAATTTGTCAGCAATTCAAAAGGGCTTTTCCAAGATCACTTAACCCGTTTCTCTCCGAAGTGCACAGAGTGACAAGCCATTCAATAATATTATTCCAATCGTTAGAATTATTTGACCAAGGACTTAACGAGGACGAAGTGCACACCTGTTTTTTTTTTTTTTTTTTTTTTTTTTTTTGCAAAAACACACTTGAGGAATAAGTGTGTGAGATTTTCCTCCTCCTTACCACAAATATCAGCATCCAGTAAACAAAATAATTTATTGGTATCCCAACATTTATCTTGAATGAAGTCGCTTACCTTTAAATTCCAGTCAATATTCTGCCCTTGGATTCAGGAACAAGGTGGAAAAGTGGGTAGGAAAAAACCCAACAGTGAGTCCAGAAGAGAAATCTCCTTGCCATTACCCACCATCCATCTCGATCATGTGTTGACTCTGAAGAAAGCCCTTCCAAGCCAGGGAGTGATTGTGCTTAATTTTGCAATTGAGGAAGTCACTTCTTTTCAAGTATTTTCTTCTGATATGTTTGATTTGATAAGAGTGAGCCTGCCAACTTTAGATAAAGTCTTCGCGTTCCAACCTTCTAACTTTTGTTTAACTCGTTTGATAAGCTCCTGCTCATTTACTGGATCCTTCCAAAACACAATATTATGTATTCCCAAATACTTGCCAATTGTAGTTTTATGTTGAATTTGCAGGATATTAACAATTGGATTTCTCAACTGAGACGAAGTATTATTCGAGAAGTACAAAGAAGATTTATGAAAATTAATTTCTTGTCCAGAAGCTTTCGCGAATAAATTTAACGCCTGGAGGATATTTCTAGTACCCTTTGTGGTCGCTTTAGCAAATAAAAGACAGTCATCAACAAATACTAAATTAGAAACACGAAATCCTCCCGGGGAGGATAGGATACCCACATGGTTTTTTGAGTTTATAGCTAACAAGTTAAGATGTCTGATAAGAGGCTCCATGCAAAGAATGAAAATATAGGGTGGTAAAGGATCACCTTGTCTAATACCCCTAAAGGGGTAGAAATAACCATGAGAAGAACTATTGATTAGGATTGAAAATGAAGTGGACGTTAAACATTCCATGATTAACCTAACCCACCTCTCATCAAAACCAAATTTTAGAAGCACATACCTGATATAATCCCAATTTAGCAGGTCATAAGCCTTCTTAAGGTCAATCTTTATGCCCATGGAACTCATCCATCCTTTCTTACATTTAAATCTGGAGAACATTTCGTGGGCAATTAGAATGTTATCATGGATTGAGCGACCCGAAACAAAAGCCCATTGAAACTCAGAAACACAACGATCCAATAGCGGCCTAGCCTCTTGATAATAATTTTCGTAATAATTTTGTAACTTACGTTACATAGACTATTGGGTCTATAATTACCAACTGTTTCGGGGTTTTTCATTTTAGGAATAAGAGCAATTTTTGTATGATTAATTGGCCTTAAACTCGAATTATCGAGAAAGAAATCCTTTATCATTGGACTTATCGAGTCTTTAACAATGTCCCAACATTCATGATAAAAACCCGCTCCAATCGCATCAGGTCCAGGTGCTTTGAGTGCTCCAATACTTTTGACAGCCTCCCAGATTTCATTGTCCTCCACCGCTGAAGCAAAGCAGCATTATCACAACCATTAATGTAGGGGTGGATTAAGTCCAAGTAATTGTTTAATTCCGAGGAAGAGGGCGAGGGTCTTGCAGAGAAACGTAGCATAAAATCCTGCACAAAAACCTGCTCTAAACCCTCCCCAGCATTCCACCAGAACCTATTGCGATCCTTGACCTACTTTGTTTCATTTCTTTTCCTCCTAAGACCATCTCCAATGGTTGGGCTAAAAGCCAAATATTTTAGCCCAAAAAATTTAGTTTTTAGCCCAGAAACAGCTTTTCTGCTCCAACAGTTCTAGCCTAAAATTTTAACCCGGAAT